TTATTTGACAGAGAGAGACACAGCGAGAGAGGGAACACAAGCAGGGGGAGTGGGAGAGGGAGAAGCAGGCTTCCTGTGAAGCAGGGAGCCCGATGCGGGGCTCGATCCCAGGATCCTGGGATCATGACCTGAGCTGAAAGCAGACGCTTAACGACTGAGCCACCCAGGCGCCCCCTGTTGTGATTTTAAAGGGAAATATTCTTCTGTAATATTGTCAAAATACGGTGATAAATATGAATATATTAAATCCATGAGACACATAACCAGGAAACCGCAATTTTCCTAATGCAAACCAGAGTGGGTAAAAAGCAATTTCCTCTTCCTAGTAAACAAAAATAGCAAATTTAATCCTGAATTTCTCAAATGCCTGACTCAAGGAAGGAAATAGGCTACGGCGATTTCTAGTTTGGCACAAAGTGACAATTTGCTTTTGATTCTGCTTGGACCTTACTCTACATAATCCCAGTTTTTTCCCACGGTAGATGTGAACTGTTTCCTTCTGTTGTTTGACTAGCGTTTTTCTTCCGTAAGAGACAATTTAGGTAAGTGGGGGTCTCAGCCTCTCCTGAGTGTCTACTTGTGTGACTCCAGTAATAGAGACACCAAAGAATATGTGCTGCTTTTCCCCAAATATTATAACGTCCTCTGCAGGCCCACCCACAGCAATGCCTGTGCTGAGTTCAGAAACTTCCAACCAGATGGCACACTTCAAAAAAGGTAATGACGCAGGGACAGTCAGTATGCTAAATAATAGCCCTAGCCACTTATCCTCATGCTAGAAAGCTTTGGTATTTAAAAAGTTTTAATATAAAGATTTGACTTATTGTAGTTCAAATACATAAACTGAACATCCAAGTACTTTAAACTTTGGGAACAAAACTTTAACATTCAAACAAGAGTATAGTTATGGGGTTTTTTTTGTTTTGTTTTAGAGGGCGGGTAGGGGATGAGGGAGAGGGAGAATCTTAAGCAGGCTCCATGCTCAGCACAGAGCCTGATGCAGGGCTCGATCTCACCACCCTGAGATCATGACCTGAGCCAAAATCGAGAGTCGGACGCTTAACTGACTCAGCCACCGAGGTGCCCCCACATGAGTATAGTTCACAGGGAATATCCAGAAAGGTAATTTGTTGTCTAAGCCAGAACACTGATAAAGATGCTAAAAAAAATGTGTTTCACCAGGAGTTCAAACCTGACCAACATTTTAATGAGCATGGTTCCATATGGGAGGAGAAATTGTTGTTTAGCCTGAGATTTATTTAGCACTCAAATGCTGTCCATTATTAAGATTATAATAATCTTAGCGTCTGGAAGATGAACATTCAATTTGCAGTGTTTTGCCCAATTTAAAAAACAAAACAAATCCCAAGTTAGGTTTTCTTGTAGTCTGGTATTTGTATCTTACAAACTTAAACCACAAATGCTCTTACATCTTTGACATATACCACTAGGAAGAACATCACCAAGTCATGGACTTCTACACCTCACGAAAGGATGATCTGTAGTGTCAAGATTTTAGATTTACTAGAAATTGCCTGTACTTGAATAGGTAGATCATGCTGCACAAAGAAAAGTGTTCTCTGTTCAGAGACTGCTCACAAATGCTTCTGTTCATCAAATGGCTTTGCAGTAGGTTAACTGATGTACAGCTATGTACAAATCTGATAATTAGCTCAAGCATTTTGAATTAGATTACCCGGCTGAAGAATATTCAGAATTATTTTGTCTTGTGGGCTGAGGCTGTGGGAGGGGCGGGTGGACCCTGGCAATGCAGGCAGGTCATGGACAAACGCCACCATCTGCTTCTCTCTCTCTGGCAGGCAGTCCGGTACTAGGTTAACCATTTATCATTCTGCAAAGTTTCTCCTACATTTTTCAGGTGCTGAGCAGATTCTTGGATTAACTTTTTAGATCTGTTCTGTAAAAGAACAGAGGACATCTGTCTATAGGACCGCCGATCCCACCTCTTCCATAAGCTTTCATTTTCACTAAAGTAATTGTTATAGATTTGGTTGGAATGTCCTCAAGTCAACTTCTTGTCTTCAATGTATTCTTCACTCTTTCTTCCTGTCACTGGAAGAGAATCTAATGCACCAAGGATCTTCCCTGATGGTTTCACTTCTTTCTATGTGGATGCTAAGGTAATTGCATTAGTTTCATCCAGACGTTGCCTCTTCTTTTTGTTAAGTTCCTTAATGTGTTCATTAAGCTTCTGTCTCTCCTCTTTCCAACAAAGATCTATATTACCGGTGGTGGTCTTTTCAGGGAATCCTTGGACTACTGGATCATGACACATCCGAAGAACCTACCTCAACAACCATCAGTAATGCAGAAGGATTTTTTTTCAGGAAAGGTCCAGGGTATCTTCTGAGGTCAGTATACATCCATATATCTCATACAATTTCTTAAAATAGTGATTTACACAGTATTATACGTCAGTTCTTTATCAGCAAAAAAATCAGTAAAGCCTTTACTAAAGTATAATTCACATATCACACATGCAAAATATATGATTCAACAGACTTTGGTATATTCAGAGTTGTGCAACCCACACCCCCAACTTTAGAATGTTTTCATTACCCAGAAAAGAAACCCCATATCCATTTGCAATTACTTTCCATGCTATCCACACCCTGGGAAACCACCTCTTTCTTCCTATTTTAGATGCTTCATATAAATGGAATCCTACAATATGTGATCTTTTGTGACTGGTCTCTGGTACATCCATGTATCAGTACTTCATTCCTTTTTATTGCTAGATAATATTCTACAGACATCTTATTTAATCATTTATCAGATAATGGGCATTTGGATTGCTTCTACTTCTTGGCTATTATGAATAATGCTATGAATATTCCTGTACAAGTTTTCTTATAGATTTTCAGTTCTCTTGGTTATAAACCTAGGAGGAAACTGCTGAACTGTTTGGTAACTTAATCTTTTAAGCAACTGACAGTCTGTGTTCCAAGTGGCTGTGCCATTTGTTATTCCCACAGCATGTATGAGGGGTCCAGTTTCCCTATATCTTTACCAACATTTGCTTAACTGTTTTTAATTATAGTTATTCCAGTGGATGTGGTACTGTTTCAATGTGGTTTTAATTTGCATTTCCCAGAGGGTTAATGGTAGTGCTGACCACTTGTACTGGTTTTTGCTGCTTGAACTGCTGACACATCCAAAAACATTTTCAAAATGCAGGGTATGTTTTTCAGTGTTAAGGCAATTGTTCTGATGTGCTTTTGTTTGCTCTGACATTGCCATGCTCCATGTTCTGACATTTTCCCAAGTACTGTACAGTTTGACTTGCTTTTAGGCTGCCCATCGAGTCTAATTAATACACATGGAAACTTTCAAAGTCTTTCAGAATAATGCTATCGTTAAGATTTTGCCAAAGCAAGGGTTTTTTCTAACTCTTTGAGCTGCATATTGCCTTGAGTAATCATCATCCGGATTGTATCCTGTAGAAGAAAGTGAAAGCTGGTCACTGTTTTACTTGGTTAAACAAGGTACGGCTCTATCATTTCATTTATTATTCAGGGACCAACACTGAGAATTGGAACCACTGTATTAGGAAAGCCCCAAACTGACAACAAAGGGTGCACAGTGTCTGACATGCTTTTGTAAACCCCAGTCGTCATACTTCCCAAACCATCATGCTGTCCTATTTATAATCTTTTCCTGTGTGTGTATGTATGGTTTAACAGAAAAGTCAGGTGATGCTACTGTAAAGATTGTAAAATTTCAATTATCATTTGAGTGGAAAATTGGTAACATTAAAGGAATGATCAAGATGTACGTACATCTCCATGATCCTTATATTCCAAAATGTCTATTAAACTTTAAAAAAAATAATAATACAAAATGGTCAGGGCCTGTCCTCACCATGATCTTGTTCTCACCTCTTGGGTGGCACTTTTGTTTCTTTTGAATTCTTCCCTTGCCCAGTCCTTCAGGTATTTTCGATCAGAATCATTTGGCACTTCCCGAATTGCTTGCAAAATCCTTCTGTAGAGAAGGAGAACTTGTTGCCTTCTCATGAACTGTAGAGGGGAGGAGAAATGTCAATTACAACTGCAAAATCTACAGCCCAGAGGGCTTTACTTTAGGAATCTACTAAATAGATGACTTCTCTTTGGTCCTCAATTTTGAAAAGGGCAAAAAAGAACTTCTAAGAAAAAGGCAAAAAGTGTATTTGGGCTGTTTGCTTACTCCTTTGTCAAACCTAAGAAACCCTTAACATCAAAAGATAACCAATGAGCAGAAAAAGAACTACCAGTTACTAGAGGCTGTAACTACAGTAACAGCACTTTTTTCTAAAACCAATGCAGGCAATCTCACTCTTTACCATAGCTCAGTACGACAGACATAACAGTCCTCACCGTGGCCAAGGCATTAAAGTTCCAAGAGACCCACAGCCCGCCCGCCTCACGAACCCAGGGCCAGAGGGCAGCCCCCTCCTCCCCGACCCTCCTCCCCACCCCCACCGCCGGCTTCCGCATCACGAAGTCCCGCCCCCGCGACCCACTCCGCAGGGTGGGCTGGAGGGAGAGATGGATAATTGAGATCAGATCCTGGAAAGGCTGGCGAAAACGGCGCTACCTGCTTTAGCGTTAGCGTCGCCGGTGGTAAGCGGGAGGTGGCCATTTCCTTCAGGTAGCCTCGGTCCCCCCCCCCCCCAAGAGCTCCAGTGCGCAGGAGCGGAAGTGGGGGCGTAACCAAGGGGCAGGGCGAGCTGGGTTTCCTGGGAGACGGTTCGCGGCTTACACTTGGCCGCCAAATCCCCCCCGCAGTCTGGCTGAACTGAAGCGGTTGGAACTAGTAATGAGCTATAAAGCCTTGGGCAGTTTTATCCTAGAATACATTTTCTTGGGGGTGCGAGGGGATAGCAGTTCTTGCGTCACAAATAGCTGTGATAATAGGAGCGGTAAGGCAACTGGCACAGTTTCTGGCACTGTGGTTAGCTTTGAGAGTGAGGGGTGAAATTATTTGTGTATTCCTGTTGGCTTTTTAAATGTGTAGTTAGAAATAAAAGTTTATATGTTTAATTTTAATGTTTGTGTCCTCTTCATCTTTTGTTTTCATCCTGGTCTTTTCTGTTTGCAACCATTTTCCCTGTGGTGGCATCTTCCATGGTTGCCGTTAGTTATGTTCATCTTAAATGTAAGGTTATTTTACCAGCAAAAGCGGGTCTATTTGGGAATAGAGAATTGCATTTGGGGACATGCAAGCTATGGCAAAACTGCAGGCAAGTCCAATAAAGGAGAGGAACTTATTTTACAGAGATGTAAGTTGAGAGGGGTTATGAAAAGCCCATTGGGAAAAAGCAAGACTTCTCACGGTGTTGCAAGGGTAGTTGATTTCTTGCACACTGCGCCTCTCCCATCTTCCCCCCCCCTCCCCGCTTGGATCCTGTAATTGATGATCCTTTCCTGCTGATCTTCTGTTGGAGTCTGTTATTGACCATTCTTCCTGGGAGTGACATTGCGTGGCCCAGCTTTCCTTCCTAGCCTCCTGACTCTACTTCAGTGAAGTCTCCCTTTATTAATTTTCACATATTAATTCTTACGACGTTTTAAATGGCTGCTCCATTGGAGTTATAACAATTTTGTATCACTAAGAATGAGGAACTGAATGTCCCCACAACTTAAGCTTTTATTTCCTAATTGTTTTATCTTCCCAACACACACATGCCCTTAAGTTATGCAAGTAGGGTTGGTGAATCTTTGCTATATTTTGTCAAATAGAATGGTTCTGAATTAAAATACAGTCAAAAATGTTCATTTGGTTACCCATTTACTGCGCATTTACCTGATTGCCTCACTTGCCGGAATCCTTTGGTGCTCCCTTTTCCTAACTGTGCTCTTTTGGTAACTTCATCTCTCCTGGCCTCCTTCCTCATCTGTAAAGTGAAATAGGAAATAGGATCTACCTCAGAGTTGCATTGTATGTGATGCACTGAAAACAGGACCTGCCACATACACTCCAATGCCTAACTTTCTTGAACATTACCAGGCATTGTATGGGTGATGCTATGACTACTTTTTGAAGTTTTGTCTAATTGGCAATAGCAATTCATTTTCTTATAAAAATTAGTGAAATATCCCTTGCCACTTATTTTATGAATTGTCATGACTGGTCCATTTATGGCGATCAAGGTTTTTACAGTAAATTTATATGGCTTGTTTGCCTGTTCTTTAAAAAATTTGTTTATATAACTTTAAGAAGTCTCTGTATAGTCATGTATTTTTCTTTTGAGGCTTTTCAATTTCATTTTCTCCCCTTTAGAGCTTTGCAATTCTACATTATGTCTTCATTGTATTTACTCCACCTAGTTTGCTTTATGGCTTGATGTGGATGTCTATCTTTTTTCCAATTGCTAAACTATAATTTTGACACCATTAAATCCTTCTTGGGCTTTGATGCCCATATGGTAAATTTTTTTAGTGTCTGAACAAATTGTTCAGGATTATTTCATGTAAGACTAGTACATTTTATTATTTGGCAGGACTAACACCCTGTAGTTTCTCGAGAATCTTTTGTATCCTTTCCCTCCAAATCATCGTAAGATCTTTATTAAAATTGATAGTGTTGTCTTCTCACATTAATTTATAGATTTTTATACTAGTTCTTCCCATCCAGAAACATTCACTCATGTTAGACACAGTAGTACTGTCATGAGTCAGGCTCCCACTTTGGGCAGGAAGACCTAAGACAGGGAAACATACCTGAGGGCTTATCTACTAGGTAGGTGTTTCCAGAAGGGCACATTAGGTAAGAAAATTCCAAAGAACATATAGAACACTGGTATATTCTAGGACCTCTGGTTTGCTGTGACCAGATCAGCTAGTGGTGTGGGGATTCTGGGAGACAAAGGACAGGAGAGTAATACCTTCTTCACCATAGGGATCTCTTCACAAGAGGGAGCTCTAAAGTGACTTGTCTAGGATACCACCAAAGCAGCCCAGACTACAGATTAAAAACGCTCCAGCTGTAGCACAAGCAGAGCGGAAGGAAAGACAGGATAAAATAAATGTCTAAAAGACCGGACAAGATTGGTGTTTGGATAAAGACAAGAAAGTAAGCCAGCTCTGGAGTTTGAGCTCCAAAGGAGAGCAAGCCTACCCTCAGTGACTCCGTTCGTGATTCAGGTGTGTCCTGCTTCTTACCCCACCCCTAGCACAGTTCCTCCGAGGTCTCCTGGGACTGCTTCCATGCTTCCCAACCCTTTTCCTTCAGCACAAGCTGAAAAGGGGATTTTGGGGTACCAGCTTGGAAGCTCCAGCTTACATGGTACAATTTCAGAAGTAGATGATAGATCACATCCTGGTCAGAATGGTGGTGTCTTTCCCTACCCGACCCATCAGAGGCTACGACCAACGAAATGAGTGGAACAAACATGTCATCTGGAGCAAAATCTTTACAAGTCATTGTATTTTTCACCAACTTACCCTTTCCTCTGCCGCCAGGCCAGCGTGCGGCAGCTCACCCACTGTGGACGTGAGACACAAAGGAGAAATCCTTATGGCAGTAAGCCACTGACCCTGTGTAGGCCCTGGCAGCCGCCTGATGGAGCAGACAAGATCGTTCCCCTAGCATACCTTTTATACACCTGTCGTGTTCCATTAAGAATGCTCACAAATTCTATCAACAGCGGTATATATTTAATAATCTTCAGAATATAACCTGCATAGCTTTTTAGAATAAAAAATGATATAACCTCAGGTACATGCTTTAGGACACTTGGTTAAACAACAAGCAATCTGTGTCTTTGATGACCACCTCAAAAGTGTGGCAAACTTCACAGTGTAACTTGAAAACAGATGTGGAGATAGACAATTACATCATGGCATGTTGTCTACAAAAGAACATTCTGACAACTTAAATAGAACATAGCACACAATTTCAAGTATTCACGCAGTGCTTCCTGACCAAGTAAAAACCGTCTAAAAACCATTGATGTATTTTGGGGAAAAAAAAATGTAGCTGCTTATTTTCTAAACACAGCATTTCTTTTCCAGAATGGGACTGGCTCAGTCCAGCTTAAAAGCAGTGGAGGAATGATTCTTCACCTTAATTGTTAAGGAAAAAAAAAAAAAAAAACAACAGCAGGGACTGTGGCACAGAAAGAATGAAATAACCAAAGGGAAAATCAGCTTTCCATCATTGCATAGTCTCCTGAAGCAGCAAATGTGAAGGACGACACAGAAAAACCACTTCATTTTTATACCATCCAGTGGTCATTTTTCCTATTACCTGGGCTCCCATGACATCTGGTTGCTTTGTAAGACCACATATACCCCAACCTTCCTATCCTCAAAGAGAAGGCAGTTACTGTCACCTGAAGCACAATGAAAAAACACACACTTGGGACTATAGAAAGCGGATGTTCAGTCTCTTGAGAGCATATGGATACACACTGTGGGCTTGGCAAGGTGGAGCCTTAAAGCAGGGTCAAAAGGGCAGCTGCCTTTAGTCCTTTGTCCAAAGGCCTGGGACAGTCTTATTCTCCTAGCCGTTTCTCCAGGTAGGTGTCCAGGGCTCCTGTGAAGGGAAAAGGCAGCCGGGCCCAGGCCTCCTCATAGGCCGGGCCTTCCAAGACCAGACACCTGCTACGGCTGTTCCTTCGCTGCCCTAGGTTTGTGACAGCTGGAGCCCAGGCAAAGCCGGGAGCCCCAGGCTTTCTCTAGCTCTGAAAGCACATTGTAAACTAAAATGTACACTGTAATACAAAACTTTCTGTAGCTATTAGGTGAATTTTTATAAATCAGATCTAAGATAAAAACATTTTAGAGCTGTGAGTTCAGAAGCACTTGTCCAAAAGAGGGAGCACCTGGCCCGAGGCGCCACGGTCTGACCATGGTTTACTGTGTTCCTTCCCTACGCGTGGTCGGAGGCTGCCACCAACTCAAACCACTGTCTCAGAGCATCGCTGAGCGTCTCGGGGAGCGCATTCACATCGCGAAGAATGATATAGAATGGGAATGGGAACTCTTCCATGTACGATCGGATTTCGGGCATCTCTCCAGGTCCTTTAAATATTGGTACTTTAATGTCCAAGATAGAATCCTGTCGACAGAAAACATTTTGATATAAAAAGAAAAACCAAACCAGTATCCTTGGCTAGCTCTTCCCTGATCTCTTTCGCTAACAATCTTTAGATCTCCTATATCAAACTCCTACATATAAAATTAGCTTTTATTACTAAGGAACAGTTTTCAGAACTCTTACTAAGGAGGCATATCTCTTTCTGAGCACCTTTTCCAGGAAAATAGACACTGAAAGGGAGGGAGAGGGGCAGACAAGAAAATCCAATTTTCCTATAAGGATATTCTCTCATTTTCTACTTGGAGTAATTCACAGTAAGTCTTCCAAACTTGTTGTCCAGGCTTTAATGGGACTTGCAGAGACAGTGCTGTCCCTGGAACAGAACTGCCCTGTGGGCATCTTTCACTTAGCAGCCCCTGCATCCTGCTCTGAGAAGGGCACTGCTGGGGTACAAGGACCTGGAATAGGCCGGTCTACAGCTCCAAGTGGACAAGGCCCAGCATCAAGGCTGCAGTGCCTGCAAGGACACAGTGCAGAGGGAAAGGATGACCCAGGAGAGGAGAGTTGGCACAAGTGGTCAGGAGGGTGGTCTCTGGAATCCGTCTGAAATTCTGGCTTTCCTACTCATTACCTGTAACCTGTGTTTCTGTCCTTCACTGTAAAGTGGGCATAATGATCCCTACCTCACTGGGTTATTCACAAAAAACTAACATAAAGTGCCTAAAACAGTGTCTGACAGAACATTAGTAGGAGTTACGATGGTGTGACCTAGGCCATATTTCAGATAGAACAGGCTGAAGGGAATCCCAACTTTTAGTAATCACTCACGCGGGAACTGGGATTGTCCAATACAACAAAAATGACAAAGATGCTAGCGTTCCGGGCAGCCTGGACTGCTGCCAGGACTCTGTCTTTGCCCTCGAGGAAAAGGCCACGTCCATCAGAGACCACCAGGAGGAGCTGTGCGGTTTCTATAGCAGAACATACAGCAGGAGACAAAACGGAAATCGCACTTTTAACAACTCAAACCTACTTGAAGACAAATTAGTGTAAGCTTTCTCTGTATCATTAACCAAACAGATGTTTGAAACTGATGAATTCTGGACATAAGCAAAAGGGACGTCTAAGTCTATTACTTCAGTTGCCCCAATCGGACATAAAGGCTGCACAAAGACATATGAAGCTTCTGTCAATAAAGCACTTTCCGTGTCACATTAGATCAATTTCATTGTATAGCAACATATGAGAAGTAAAACATTTATGGCTATAAAGTATAAAAATGGCAGTATTGAGGGGTGCCTGGGTGGCTTAGTCGATTAGGCATCCAACTCTTGATTTCAGCTCAGGTCATTATCTCGGGGTCGTGAGACTGAGCCCCACGTTGGGTTCTGTGCTGGATGGGGAGCCTGCTTATGACTCTCTCCCTCTCCCTCTGCCTCTTGCACCCCCTCAAAAAAAAAAAAAAAAAAAGAATATGGCAGTATTGAGTAGGCCATTAGAAGAAAGTGCCCAAATCAGAAACCTGGAACTGGGTCTTCCAAATTTCTTTTAACTAACTTGTGTATTTTTCTCTTCTTGACATTTAAATGAAAACTTAAGTAGAGGGGGCCATTAAAATAAATCATGAATAAAAGCGTTTAAAAAGTTTTAACTCTTAAAAAAAAAAAATTAACTCTAGTGTTTCCAGTGAAAGACTGTAGTGCTTGAGGGCAGGCCTCTTTCTCTGTGCAGGAAGTTCAGCAAGTATCAAGAGGTGTTAAAGACTTGCTTCAAACAAGAAGGTTCTCCATGATATAATCACGACTGAGAGATTTCAGAAAGAGCTGAAAGAAGAATTGGTGTGTTTCAAGCCCTAAATCAATCATCGTTGGATTAGCTGGTTTCTGAATTATGTCCCTCCTCTGCTTCTGTCACTAAAATATTATAGAATGTTCTTAATACTAAATTCCATACACCTTGCTCCTCCTTCACAACTCTGAACTCTAAGTATATACTAGTTCATAACAAAGAATAGTTGACCCTTGAACAACACGGGTCAGTACCGTGTGGGGAGGCCCACTTATATGCAGATGTCTTACTGTAACAGTACCGTGTATATATTTTCTCTTCCCTATGATTTCCTTAACATTTTTTTCTCTAGCTTACTTTATTGTAAGAATACAGTATAAAATACACATAATATGCACAATTGCTAATTAACTCTGTATGTTATCAGTAAAGGCTTCCCGTCAACAGTAGGCTATCAGTAACTAAGTTTTTGAGGGGTCAAAGTTATATATGGATTTTCAACTGTGCATGGGGTTGGTGCTCCTAACTGCCCCACCCCACCACCACATTGTTCAAGGTCAACTGTAGTTCTTTCCTATCTATTCCTCCATTGGTTGTAAGCATCATGGGTATGGGTTCAATAAAAATTTCTGAATGGATAAATGGTTGAGTACACAATGAGTGCCCACACCTCTCCAGCTCCTGCTTACCTTTTCCTAGAGAGCATACACTCTAAAAAAAGATGGTCATGGGGCGCCTGGGTGGCTCAGTCGGTTAAGCGACTGCCTTCGGCTCAGGTCATGATCCTGGAGTCACAGGATCGAGTCCTGCATCGGGCTCCCTGCTCGGCAGGGAGTCTGCTTCTCCCTCTGACCCTCCCCCCTCTCATGCTCTCTCTCTCTCATTCACTCTCTCTCAAATAAATAAATAAAATCTTAAAAAATTTTAAAAAATATAAAAAAAAAAAAGACGGTCATGGGTACAGTGTGTTGAAGGCAGCAGCTTGTGAATGCACACAACAGAAAGGCATTGTGTTGATAAAGACAAAAAGTGCAGCTCACCTGGACTGGCGTTGTGTGAGGGCTGCTGAGCAGCTGCAAACATGCTGGCCACGGACTCGAGAAACTAAACCAGAACCAGAGACAGGCCGTTATTAAACTACTGAAACTCTCTTCCCGTTGTCATGGAGACTGAAATTACTCCTGACTTTTAAGTGACGATCAAGTAAGCTTCTCAGATCTAGAGGCAATGACACGGCCCCTTCCAGCCGCCTGTACGAGGCAGGGACGATCCTTGCCCTGTTGGCATCTATCCTTAGGTACTGGCGCCCTCCAGCACAGACCTGTGTCTCTGCCACACACACCAGGAGTGTTCTGTAACACACCCGAGAGGAAAAGAAATACTTCCCCTGGGGGTAAAGAGAAGACATCAGTAATGCCCCCAAATAAACAAAACAGCTATCTTCTCTCAGAAGAAAACAACTGAGCAGGAAAAGGCAAGAAAACACAAAATGTCTAGTGTAGCATAAAGAAAGTGGGCTAAATCAGGGCAAACATGAAGAGGACAGAATTATCATCCTATGCTGATGTCATCCTGAGCAAGTCACTGGCTGTTCTTACATCCTTTCTTTAGGCTAAATTAAATGGCAGAGAAAAATTGGCCCAATGAAGGGTACAGGAAGATGGTTTATTTTTGCACAAGTTCCAAATCTGTCAAAAACTAGGGAGCCAGAAAAATTAGTGACATACTGTTAATCTTTGAGGAACAGAGGAGTAAGTCATACCTGATGGGTGCCAAGGAAGTTTCTATTCCAGTGGTGTCTTAGGCTGAAGTTTAGAACTATTCTCCATTGGAAATTTTACCTGTCCTAAAACCATACTGGGGAGGAAAGAGTGCTAAAAATTATGTCTCTGGGGCACCTGTGTGGCTCACTCGGTTAAGTGTCTGCCTTCAGCTCAGGTCATGATCCCGGGGGTCCTGGGATTGAGTCCCAAAGGAACCCAAGCTCCTGCTCATCAGGGAGCCTGCTTCTTCCTCTCCCTCTGCCCCTTCCCCCAACTCGTGCTCTCTTGCTCTCAAATGAATAAAATCTTTAAAAAATTTTTTTAAAATTAAAAAATAAAAATTATGTCTCTCCCACACTTGCTTAAGAATGACTGTGCAGAGGACACTGATGTTGTCAGCATACCTGAGCAATCTTGGTTTTCTTTTGTTGGAATTTGCAGAGTCGCAGAATCTGGGACCCTGAGGAATCACTGAACTGTTCATGGAATGGATGTAACAGCTTTACGGACTCTCCAAAACTAGAGAGAGAAAAACCAAATACAATGGGAGTTAATTTTTGTGTGATCAACATAACAAAAGGAGGTTGATTTTCCCACTGGGATTAGAAGGCACCCTTACCTGCACACGGCAATCTGACCCACTTCCAGGAGGGTTAGAGCATTTCCAATCACCGCCAAAGATTCAAATGCCAGCTATGAAATAGAAAGTTAAGGGTTGAAGGAATCAGAATATCCTCTAGATCAGTGCCTCTCGACCTTTTTTATACCAAGAGTCCCACAGAAAATGTTATTTTTGCATGACCCACAGGGAACATCAACATGGCTATTCACAATCAACCCAGAGGCCATGGTGGCCCTAGAGCCCGGCTAATACTACATATCTCGAAACCCAGAATCCATTACACGAGTAGCAATGGTCTGCTCTAGACATCATCTAATAAAAGTGATCCTAGGAGACTTGGTCCCTAGAATTTTCAGAAGTTTTCCCGGGGGGCTGGGGGGAATACTACATAAAAAGTAATCTCTTATTGGTTAAAAATTTTAAAAATCAATTTATTTTAACCCATACGTAAATGACAATACAGTTTTAGAATTCAAATTTCATTAAAAAGATGACACTTGTAGCAACTAACATCTACTGAACATGTATCAAGTGCTAGGCATTAAACTTAATCAAACTCATTTAATTTTCACAATTCTGTATGAAGTACTGTTACAATTCTCATTTTTCAGAAGATGAAACTGATACATAAGAAGTAAATAATTGGTCAACATCGTGAGGTAAAAAGTGAGGAGCTTGGACCTGAACCTGGGTTCAGAGGTCACTCTCTAACTTTTTCCGACAGAGCACATGTAGAGATTTAGGTTGCTCATTGGTTCATACTAGGTAATAGCATCACTGCAAAAAACATCCCTCTTCAGTGGCCATAATGGTGGTAGCCTAAGTAATTCCATTCAGGCTCTTAAGCCTTGTGAATACTAACAGAGCACTAACTCCAGATAATTTCAGACTTAAAAAGATGTACACTGAACCCTTTAAAAATCAGTAATATTCAGATATTATATGTTGTACAAGATCATTAAAAGATAGTTTAACAGTACACTGCATTTTGTGGAAAATAAACATTGTCAGAGTTACTCTGCTGCAGCTAGAGCACAGCAAGCTAAAAAACAAAACAACTTAAAAGGCCTCCAACAGCAAGGGACCAAATTATTTGAGACATCCTGAAACTGCCCTTTTGACTTCTTTTAAAAATTTTAGGTCTTCTCAAACATGGTATCACATTCTCAGAACAGTACTTGGTATTTCAAAGTGCTTTTTGCCAGAACATATTTAAAACTTTTTGGTGGCCATGGAGCATGGCTTGGTGTCAACTACTCATCAAATTAGCTCTGTGCTTCCTTACCTGTTTGGTATGGTTGTCCACCATGCTAGAAGAGTCATCGATGGCCAAACAAATCTGATACTGGCGTTTACTGGGCTTGGTCCTTCGAAGCCAAATCTTGTCTTTCCGAAATTGACTAGCAATGTATGGAATGACCTTCCGCATATTTAGCCGCTTCCCAGTTCGATAGTCTCCTCTATTAAATTTATCCAAATGGGGTCAAGATTAGTTAACAACGGCTCATCCTCTGATATATTTTTTTTTTAAATAAAATCCATTGTAATACCTTATAATCAGTAATACCAAATAACCAGTAACCTGGCACACTCAAGTGTCACTGTCAATTGAGACTTAAGGGCAGCCAGAAAAGCTGGATATGTATGTGGCAATAATAATTAGGTCCTTCCAGGAAAGCTAAGACACATTTTAAAAATTAGGAAAATATGTTTGCACTGATTAAATCTTAGACTCTTTTCTGTTCAGAAACTATGAGTTTGGATAAATCTTTGAAAAGATCTAGGTGAGTAACACGTGCAGCAAGCCCATACACCCATGCAAAGGCTCAGCCAATTTTCCCATCAGATGTTAATGAATCAAAGGAACTGCACTCATACCGAACTTCAAAGACACCTCGGTGTTTCCAGATAACATGAAAAAGTGTACGGAATAACATACTGGTGCCTGTGCAGCTCAAATGGCCACCACAAGCCAGCACTTTAAGTGGTTAAGGTGGTGACCCTGCCATCTTGTCAGGGCACTGTGAGTGAGTCCAATGGAGAAAACTTACTTCAGCTTGGCTGCCTGGGTAGGCTCTAATATAAGACGAAGCTGCTCACACAGCTGTTGTGAAAGAGGCGCAGTTAAGGCCAGGTAACTCTGCCACATCTCAGCTGCAGCCTTCTCCTGTGACAATAAAGTGGAAGTTACCCAGAGAACATCAGAGCCAGCCAAAGTCATTAACGGCAAGATGAGGCTTGAAACAGAGCGGTAGAAAATGACCTGCATGAACTTCGTCAACAGAAGCTAACTTGAGACCTTCTCTTAGCAAGCCGCCAGCTAGTTCACGTCCTTAAAAATGTCTCCTCTTCTACCAAAACCACAACCCTCGGTTCCAAATGAGAAAGGATGAAAAGGCAGAAAATAATGGAATTTATGACCAAATCAACACTTTATTTTCACCACCTACAAAGGCACTTTGTGTGGGTGGGAAACTGTGGATGGTTAATGATCCAGCCACGTAACTGTGGGCTCTCAGGGTCATGTTTCAAAAGCAAAAGTGACGAGTGCAAATCTCTGAATGGTGTGATAATTTCCTAGACACAAAGCTCCAACTATGGCAGAGCCCTCATACAGGTCTGTAGTAGGAATGATGATTGCAGGCACAAAATACAAACATGTACATATACAGTAAATTTAGGATGTAGAGTCCTAATTAAAAATGAAGCTTCTGGTTAATCCATGCTACCACATTAAGTCAGCCAGCAACATTCCAGGTGGCCTACTCTGAGGATGACACATTTTGACCCATTTTATAATCACTGTCCTATCTGTTCTATTATAGAATGAACAACAAATTAAAGGACATAAATACATCAGCTTTTCTGTTTTAATTAAGCTAAATATCGAGTGGCAAAGTACGCAGAAAGCAACGGATAGACTTAGGCTCCATATACTCAGTCCCTTCTACAAAGGTAATTGGTGCTAAGAACCTGTTAAGCTTGCTGTATCTTTAGAAACAAACAAAAAACCAACCAAACAAAAACACAAGATTATCTTATGAAAAGACCAGTGACTTACTTCTTCTAGGTTTCCAGATTCATGTGGCTGCCACATTTCCAGCTGTCTCTCCAGCTCCTGTCTTAGCTCACTGATATCTTTTAAAAAGGGCTAAGAAGAAAAAGCCACAGATAAGAGGCAGCCTAGGTTGAAATCACCAACTCATTATCACTGGCTGCCTTCTTCCAAGCAGTATGAACTATAAATACATACCCCTAAGAAACAAAGCTTAAGCAATTTAATGGCACAATAAGAAGATGCCAGACAACTAGTCTTCTTTTGCTTCCCATTTGGCAGAGACAAGATAAAGGAAATTTTACCATTTAGAAGAAATCCATCCAGCAAAATAAAAACAAAAAACCCACAAAACTATTAATATCAAAATGTTCTTTGATTAATCGAGACTGCTATTAAGTCAAACGACTAGGGAAAACTCCATTAAATCTGCTCTTCCTAAAATGCAGGCATTAATAATGCCAAAGATTTTCGCTACTTCATCAGCGTAAACTGCGAACTGTCCCTACAGCTTCTCGCACAAGGATGCTGGACATGATCAATGGGACAGCCTGAGGCTGGAGGACCAGACCCACCATCATGGTCAGGTCAGGACAGACCACCCACTATGACCCTGGGATGAACTGCTGGAACAGTGTTATCTGTTTCGAGAAAACTGGTCATACCAACTGTTTTCCTAAAAACTTTGATAAGGATAAGATACCCCCAAACAACCAGATGTTCCATGAAGTTCTAAAGACAAAAATTTAAAAGCAGTTTATAATTACATTTTATTAACTTATTAAAACAGTAATTTGTGAACATTTTTGTACCTGGAAAACTGTGTCCATGAGGAACTGATGGGCTGTGTGAATGGTTGAATCTCGGCTTCTCTCTGGTTTCTCCTTCTCTGTCTCTTCATGTGATAGGTTGGTCCTGGGATCTTGGTCTTCTGTTTTAACAGCTTGGGTCTCCACCTCCATCTCATCAAAGCCTATTTGCATAAAGGACAGAGTTTTACTTACCATACAATTACAGAGACTGAGCCTTCACGACTGCCTGCCTAACAACTACTCAAACCTCACTCCTTCAGTCCCCACCAAATTTCTACATATGGGCTCCACATGTTCCTTGTCTTTGGGTCAGTCACTGCCAATTCTGACTCCCCTAACCTCCCCTCCTCCCCACTGTGATCTCAAACGCAGCTGTTCTGCAAAGAAGGGAAATGGGGGAGACTCCCATTGCCTTGTAGAACTGTGTGATTCTTTAAACTACATGCATATAGAACTTTGATAAAAATAAAAACTAAAATAAAGTCATAGTTCCATTCTATTTATGAGGAAACTGAGGCAAAGAAAATATTAATAATTAGCCACAACCTATAAGGTAAGGAAGAGGCAAAGTCTGGATTTTCAATTTTCATCAGAGCTGTGCCATTCCCACTGTCATATAATAGCTGGGCATTGACCGTTCTAAAACCCAAGAGGACAAGAAGAAAGCAGGAAAAAAAGGTTTTTGAGTTGGGCAAGTTCTTTTGAATTTGCATTTATTCCACTGCTGATAAGGTTATTTTTTAATGTGTTAAATCCATAGTTTAGCTCTTTTTTCCTTTTTTTTTTTCTTTTTTAAAGATTTTATTTATTTTTGACAGAGAGAGAGAGTATAGAGAGTATACAAGCAGGGGAAGCAGCAGGGCAGAGGGAGAGGGAGAAGCAGGCTCCCTGCTCTACAGGGAGCCCGATGTGGGGCTCGATCCCAGGACCCCGGGATCGTGACCTGAGCCAAAGGCAGACGCTTAACCGTCTGAGCCACCCAGGCGCCCCTCTTTTTCTTTTTTTAATATATTGCCTAGTAAAAGCACTTGGTCAACTCTGAAATGGAACTATATGTAAGAAGTTTGGTTACTTTTTCACATGCATTTTCCCCATTCTATTTCTTTAAATATTTTACTGCATTTTATGCTAATATTCTATATTTTCACATAACTGAAAACCCTTCTCTAATAATCAAAGAGTGTATCTTCTGGCCATAACTGAAGTGTACTATTTTGTTTTCTACATATTTAAAGAAGACTGAAGGCATTTTGTCTGAATCTCAGGTTTCTGAGGTCTTCTTGAAGGACAGTGGCGGCAAGACCACTCTGCCACCTTTGACTCCCAAGTGAAATACAGTGGAATTATCACAGGCACACGAACACCTACGCCATGGGTTAGGATGGGGAAAGAACCAACCAGATCAGACCACATTACAAGAGAAGTGACTTTTCTAAGTCAGGGAGCTTAGGGGGGATCTGTTCACTACAGGGCTCACCAGGGCTCGCTGTGGTCCCTGACGTGACCTCCTCTGGCTTTATCTGCTCTGTGTCTGCTGCTCGGAGTTCCTCCTCCTCCGTGTCCACGAAGGTATCCTCTATCTCCTCCTCCTGATCCCTGCTGGAATCTTTTGCAGACTGTTGCTGCTCCTTGCTGGCCACATCTGCCAATACAGCACACAGACACATAAACAGCCTAGGTCTTCCCAGAACAAAGTAATCAAGAGTGGGTATAGTTCGTCATTTTTAGCCTCCAAGATTCTATTCATGCTGGTTCTCCGCTGACCAGCTATGAGGCATGAACATGGTACTTGGCTTCTCTGCCTTGGATGCCCTACTGACCTACTGATGTAACTGCCTATTCTCTACCACAAAAATAGGATGCTTAGCTAGGTTTTTACTGCTATTACAAGAAACTGAACCAGAAGAAACAGGCTGGACACATGACTCAGAGCAGCTAATGGAATTATCCTCCATTACCAAGTTATGAGTGGAAACTGTAATGATTAAGAGTATAACACAGGACACAGAAAAACCAATGTTGAGGATGAACTCTGTGATCTTGGACAAGTTCTTAAACTTGTTTGGTCTCAGTATGCTCATCTATAAAATGGAAATATTGTAGCTCCTAAGATTATTGGAGAAATTTCATGATCATTCAGCAACGACTCAGAATAGTGTTTGGTACAAAGCAAGAGCTCGATTCATGATAGCAATTATTACTACTGTTTTATTTTTCTAAAAAGTGAAGATAGAAAAGAAATGATGCTCATAGATAAATATTGTCAACACTAGTTTATATGTTAGGAATAAAACATTAAAAAGTCACCAAGAGATTATTTTTTTCTCTTTTCACTTATGGGAAAAACAAACATTTCTAGTTCACAGCTCTAGCCGGTGCAGAGAGTGACCTCACAGTGACTCTGAAGGAATGTCCAGTACTCAGAAACCCTGAGATTAGCACTAGGTTTGGATGTGGCAAACTGTTATCAAGGATATGTAAAAGACTTACACCAGACCCCGAAACCCTGAACACTTGCACTTGCCACAGATACCTTTTTATACAAAACCAAACTGCATTCCTGCGTAATTCTTATTAAAGAGAAAATAGTTAAAAAAAAAAAAGCCATTACCCATCCCTAAGATGAATTTGCTTATCTGCTGGGCACATAGTCATGCAGCTTAAATTCTCAGACAGCTCAGGGACCAAAGTAGAAGCCTTCCCTGAACCATACCGTACGTCTGTGCATCATAAGGGTCACTGCCTTCTTTAATGTGCTCAAACGCATCCGCATCCTCCACCTGGGCCTCAGGTTGGGCTGGACCCTGCTCAGTGTGGCTCTCCATATCCACAGTCCTCAGCCGCTTATGCACATGCTCATTGTGATCACCCATGGAGCGTTCATTGTCAGCTTGTCCAGGTTTCCTCTTGAAACTCTGTGGGGATAGGTGGAAATTCATTAGAGCTGTGTCTGTAATGGCAAAACGACTAATATCCATCCACAGGGGGCAGGTTAACTAAGTGAGGCACAACCACAGAAAAATGGAATTCAGTGCAGCTGTTAAGAATGGGCAGATCTCGGGTGCCTGGGTGGCTCAGTTGGTTAAGTGACTGCCTTCGGCTCAGGTCATGATCCTGGAGTCCCGGGATCGAGTCCCGCATCGGGCTCCCT